TTCTTGAGGGCTTATGTGTGCCGGCATGGTGCTGAGCTCTGGACATCATTCATTCCTCTGATGACATTGCAAGGAGGCATTACTAATCCCAAGTTATGGCTAAGGAAACTGAGGCACAGAGAGATTGAACCCAAGGTTGCCCAGCTAGCTCTCACCACTGTAACTGCCTCTGTCCTCCTGGACTTTGCCAAAACTGTTGTGTAGGGTCAGGGGAGGATGAGGGGACAGCCTCTAGGGCTTCTGGGCTGGGGCAAAGGCAGTGGTGGGGGAGCGGTGTCCAGCTTCTGGGTATCGAGAAGCCAGACCTGGCGGAGCTGGGCTGAGGCTGGGCCAGGGTAGCTTGGCAGTGGCTGTGTAGCCATGGTTCCTGAGCAGCATCAAACCAGGCACCGGAAGCTGGGAGTCCAGAGTGTGCCAAACCTGGAGGAACAATCCACCCTGATAATCAGGGCTGGGCAGGAATTCTGCGAACTGCTTTCTCAAACAGCTTTGCAGTTCACAGAGCACTTTCCGTCCTTTCTGAGACTTGGTCCCTGAGGCTCTCTGTTGTTAACAGGAGGCAGGTAGCATGCTCACACCCCTCCCCCGCCTTTCATGGCAGAGAAATCCAGGCTTGGAGAGGAAGTAGCCTGGGATCACACAGCTAGCAAGTGTGGAATGGATTACGTCCAGTGCTCTTTCTGTAAAGTCTTGGCTGCCCTGGGACAGAGGGAAACCCCAGCTCCCCCTGCCCCCTGATATAGGAAGTGGTTTCTGGTGGACATGATGAATCACTGGTGTGAAGGTGACAGGTTGCCTCTGGGTCAGCAGACCGGGCTTTGCAGTTAGCAGCTGCATGATGTTGGACAAATTGCTTTCGGTAGCCTACCACCACCCCCAAGCCCATAGCTGATAGGGGTCTGGGTGTCATAGCTGCCATCCTCCCCCAGCCTGTTTGAGCTCAGGATTGGATTTGGGAGAAGATTTGATTTAGATCCTAAACGGAGGCTGTATTTAGAGGGTCTAGTCCATTTCCCACGGGCTTCTACTAGGTGAGACATGGGCAGAATTAACCCAAAGAAGTGTTGGATGAGAGAGACACCAGCCCTCCTCAGGCGGGTGGGGCAGTGGTATCTGGCACCCTGACTGAGCAGGCTGGTCTCTTGGGTGCTCTGGCTGAGCACCCTCAGCTGCCGCACTTCCTCCAGCAGAGGACCCACTGCTCTCCTAAAGAACAGTTATCTCACCTGTTTCTTTCTGAATTTGCTGAGGACAGAGGTTATGTCTGACTTGTTCCCGGCTGTCCTCTCAGCACCCAGCTCAGTGCCTGGGGAATGAATGAATGCATGAATGCACACGTGCCCCAGTCCTCCCTACCCATATGTCTGCTCACCCTGCCCACAGCAGGTGAGATGTGGCACGGTTCTGGCTGTGTCATTCCATTGCTCCCGGGACAATCCACACCCATCATTTCATTCTGAGACCAGGCCCTCAGGTGTGGCTCCTCATCCACCTTGATCCTCCCCTACGCTTGCGACCTCCCACCCCTGGGGTTCTCAGGTTGCCTGTGTTTGCTCCAGGGCCTTCCTCAAGCCACTCTCCATTCCAGCTCTCCCAGGAACACTGGCCTGACCAAACCAGCACACGATCAGTGCTCACACAGGCCTGCCCGGAGTGCAGGAAAGAACCCATGAATCCTGGGCCCTGTTTGCCAGCATCTGAGGGTGTTCCATGTGGGGTGGGCCCAGGTGAGGTCCTCAGGTAGTGTTCCTGGCCTCCTTCCACTGAGGACCCCAAACACTTATGTGTAAGTGTCCCAGGAAAGAGAGTGACCTTGGACAAGGGACACAAGTTCTGATTCTGCATCAGCCCCTCAATTCTTAGGTAGTTCTTTTACCCTCTGGAGCTTCAGTTTTCCTATCGCTAAGATAAGATGAGACTATTGGTAGCTCTTATTCAATGGATGCTTTTCCTGGGCCAGGTGCTTTGAGGAGACCAGTGATAGTCATGTGAGCGCAGTGTGACATGGCTGGGTTCCTTAGAGGAGGAAACAGGCTCTAGGGCAGTGGTTCTCAACCTTCCTAATGCCACAACGTATTTTCATTGTTAAAAAGGGGTCGAGACTCACAGTTTGAGAACCGCTGCTCTGGGAGTTGAGAGGCTTGGCTAGAGTTGCACAGCCAGAAAGTGGCCCCATTGGGATCAAAATCAAAGTCTGACTTGGGCATCTGACCATGTAACTGCTGGGCACTCTGAGAGCCCTAAAATCCTGGGTGGTTTCCCGCCAATCCCTCTGGGTAGGGGCCCTCTGGGGACAGGCACCCCTGCCTGAGCAGTACTTCCCCTCTTGGCTGTTTGGTTTGGCCTGGGTTTAGAGCAGGGTTGGCAGAGGCAGACTGACTTGCATTTCTGGTTTTGGGTTTGCTGCTGCACTTTCCCTTAGGGCTGGGCGGGCTCCGGCTGACAGTCACTGCTGGGACAGGCTGGGCCCCACCCCCAGCACCCAGGAAAGGGGAAATGCGGTCTGCTCCCCTCTCTGTGCCACTCTGTGCCAGGCCCTGAGGCCACCCGGATGCTGCTTCCTTCCTTCCGTCTTTCCCAAGGACTATCAGAGGCAGGTGGCTGGGGTGGGGTTGGCTATCTGGCTGTTGGGGAGGGTCATGCGAATGTGGGGACCTAGGGAGCTGGCTGTGGGCAGTGTGTTTCCTGATGGAGGCTGCTTCCAGGAGTGGGGGCAACAGGCTGGAGATGGGGCTGTTCCTGGGGAATGATATTGGAAGTGGGCTTGGAAAGAATAGAGTCAGAAGGCTGGGGCTCTAGTCCAGCCTAGTCCCTGGTCACTAAGTGACTGTCCAGCTGGGCCCCTAGTCTTCCTGTTTGTTCAATGGAGGCCCTTTCTGTCTACCTGGGAGCAGCCTCATGGGGCTAAAGTGCCCTTAGCTTCCAGGTGGGCTCTGGATTAGGAGGCCTGGCATCACAATCGCCAAGTTCCACTGTGGACATTTGGCAGGGTTTGCTTCTAGGGCTGCATTGAAAACATGCCACTGTTTGAGGTCCTTAATGTCAGAATTTCCTTTAGATCTGCTTTTTAAAATCACCACCATCATTGCCACTGCCATCACCATCATCCTCTCCTTTGAGAGCTTTATACTCTCTGTATTATGTGTTCCTGGCTTGTCACTTGGGCGCTGTTCTCCCATTTCACAGGTGGAGATCTTATGGCCCAGAAGGCTAGTGACTGGCTCTGCCTGATACCTTGTGTGATTCTAGGCTGGCCTCTGTCTCTCCCTGGGCCTCAGTCTTCTCGTCTATGTAGTGGGGATTTGGGATTGCTGATATTTCAGAGCATGAGGCTATGAGGTCTGAAAGGTCCCTGGGTGGGGTCACCTACGAGCTGCAAACAGGATTTTCAGGGCAAGAGAGTCACAGGGTTGGTAGGCACCTGTCTCTGGCCTGGGAATCAAAGCCTGAGGTTTGCCCTCTCTGACCCTGGCCAGAGCATCCTGGAGTCCTCCGAGACCTTGCCTCCCTTGCTCAGTTACCCTCTCCACTCAGCAGGGCTCCACTTTCACTTTCATGCTCCCAGGCGGGGGCTCTAACCCACAATGTGCTTTCACGTCTGCTCCAGTGCTCCTGAATGCCAGTGTGACTCTGACACATGTGTGCAACACCCTGCAGCTGCCCTATGCCACAGCTGGTCACTTACTCCCCTTTACTTCACCATGGCAGACTCCCCAAGCATCAGAGACTTCTCGGCTGAGGCCCCCCCACCTCTTTTGATGTCAGAGCAACTGTGCAATAGTGGATAAGTCACTGCTCTTTGCACTCAGTTTTCTCATCCATCAAATTGACATTAATGGTCTCTATAACAAGAGATCTTAACCTATGTTCTGGGGTATTTACCCATGAAATGCTCCGTGTATGTGTGTGTATGTACGCATGCACACACATTCCATGTATCTGTCCAGTGCCAGGCATGTGTGGGGTTTTTCTCTTTCATTAGTTCTATGACTATGGCTTCTTGAAGGAGAAAACCTGGGCCCTAAATAGTGCAAGCTCCAGCGTTCCAAGTTTTTGAGTGAAAGGGACCCAGCCCAGGCCTGAGACCTGCTCCCCCCGTGTAGCTGTGACACCATCCCTGAGGTTCTCTGGGCCCCGGTCTTCTTGTGAGATCTAGTTGCTTCTCCAACTTTCACCAAGGGAACTATTTTTCTGTTTTCAAATGACATCTACTGCCAGAACCCAGCAAAAACTTGTGGGTTCCGAGGGTTATGTGTGAGGCAGGAAATGTTTTTCTGCATTTTTTTTTTTTTTTGAGAAATCCCTGCGGTTTCTCCAAGCAGTTTAAAAGTCACTGGGTGGGTGATCCCCCAGGGAGGTTCTGTATGTCTGTGACATCTGGTTCGTCCAGGTGTGGGCAATATTTTAAAAGTCCTGCTTTCATTCCAGTTTAGTAGTTTCAAAGATACTTAAATACTCAGAGCACATTCTTGTTTGAATGACTCACTAGGAATTTTTTAAAGATAAAGGGTATAAGAGACCCTTTGGTTAGGTTCAGTACTGCTCTGGCTTAGGGGCTTGGCTTGATTCTAGTCCATGGAGGCAGAGGCTGCCAGCTTCTTTACTTACAGAGGGAACTTCACCCTTCTCCCCTCTTTCCCTTTCTGTAAAGTGGGGACAGTCATACTTCACTTATAGGGCTGCAGGAAAGCTGTATGAGCGAGGGAGCTCATGCATGCTGGCATGGTCCTGGACGTATGACAGGAGCCAGATACATGGTTCTTACCTCCTCCTCCTTTCCCCTCAATGACTGGCCAGGTTTTTGATGGAGGAGAAAGTTAAAGCAAGTAGACAAGGGTGAGACCATTTCACAGCTAAGCCAGATGGCGTTTCAGATGGGGGAATGTGGGGTTCAGCCATAGCCTGGTTTTGTATCAGCCTCTGTGACTTTGACTTGTGGGTGGTGTTTGGCGCTGGTAGCCTTGTCTTCTGAGCCTGTCTTATTTTCTTTTTGTTTCCAGATGTTTGAGACAGAGGCAGATGAGAAGAGGGTGATGCCCTTGGAGGAAGAGAAGGGGCCAGGTGCTGAGGACCCCCCACCCAGCAAGGACTCCTCTCCTGGCAAGGAGCTCCCTCCAGGTCTTCCACCTAGCAAGGACTCCTCTTCTGGGCAGGAACTCGCTCCTGGCCAGCAATCACTATCCAGCAAAGATGGACCTACCAGCAAAGAACTCCCTCCAGGGCAAGATGCCCTGCCAAGCCAGGACGCCCCACCATGCCAGGAACCCCCTGCAGCCCAAGATCTCCCACCCCACCAGGACCTTCCTGCTAGTAAAGAACCCCCTCCTCACCAGGAGCCTCCCCTCAGCAAAGACCTCTCTGCCGCCCAGGAACCCTCTGCCCAGGACCCGCCACCCTGTCAAGATCTGCTTCCCAGCCAGGATGCCCTGCCAGCCAAAGGCCTTACTGAGAAGACTGTGGGCTCTGGGGACCCACCAGCAACCACCGGGGACCCTCCTGAAGCCTCTAGGCCAACCTTCGTGATCCCTGAGGTCCGGCTGGATAGCGCCTACAGCCAGGATGCAGGGGCAGAGGGAGGCAGCTCGGGAGATGAGGAGGACGCAGAGGATGCCGAGGAGGGGGAGGAGGGGGAGGAGTATGAGGATGAGGACACCAGTGACGACAACTATGGAGAGCACAGTGAGGCCAAGCGCAGCAGCATGATTGAGACAGGCCAGGGCGCTGAGGGTGGCCTCTCGCTGCGCATGCAGAACTCACTGCGGCGCCGGACGCACAGCGAGGGCAGCCTGCTGCAGGAGACCCGCGGGCCCTGCTTCACCTCTGACACCACCTTGCACTGCTCTGACGGCGAGGGCACTGCATCCTCCTGGGCCATACCTTCACCCCGCACCCTCAAGAAAGAACTGGGCCGCAACGGTGGCTCCATGCATCACCTTTCTCTCTTCTTCACAGGACACAGGAAGGTGAGAAGGCTGAGGGGGAAGGGAGGATGGGTTACCTGTGATGGGGGCTGCGGGGAATGAGCAGTCCCATCCCTACTCTTCTGTGAGCCTCCCAGGGAACCTTCTACCCAACCTTCACATGACAGGAGAGAAAACTAAGGCCCAAAGGGACCAAGAAGGCAAAGCCTGGACTTAAACTCAGGACTCTAGGACTCCAGATGCTGTGTTCTTACAAGCTCATTGTACTTCTGGTCCCCCAGAAAGCAGAGCAGGTGTGGCCTAGTCTAGGCTATTGCATGTTGGGACTTAAAGCACTGAGATCGTGGCTGGAGAAGTAGACTTAAAATTTAGATCTGGTCCAGGCCTAGCCATACTAGAACTCCGTCAGCCAACAACAACAACAACAATGACACCGCTTATTTATCTGTGCTAGTGTTATTCTAAGCAATTTACATGAACTTGCTAATTCTGGCAATAGTCCTATGAAGTGGATAGGATTTTGTGCCCATTTTGCAGATAAGGAAGCTGAGGCACAGAGAGGTTATCTAACTTATCCTAGCTTATAAATGTCGGAATCAGAATTAGAATCTCGTACCAGGGCAGCTAGCATTCTTAACCATCATGCTATTTTCCTCTTGCAAATATCTATAAGTAAATAAATAAGTGTTTATTGATTTCCTGCCATGTGCCTATGCTCTGTGGCACAGCAGGAGCCACAGAAAAATGTGTGAGTCTGATCTTAGCTTGGGGGAAATGATTTATCTGTATGAGCTTTGAACGTGGCCAAACAGTGAACAGACTGTGCCATGGTCTTGAAGCCCACCAGACAACATTAGTCCAGCTCTATTTCTTACTCACTGTGTAACCTTGGTTAAACCAATCACCTAGTTCCTGAGAGCCTTGGTTTCCTTCTCTGAAAAGTAGGGGATTGGTCAGAGGTGGTGGCTCACATCTGTAATCTTAGCACTCTGAGAGGCCTAGGTGGGAGGATTCCTTGAGCTCAGAAGTTTGAGACAACCTGAGTAAGAATGAGATCCTGCCTATACTAAAAAATTAGCTGGCCATGGTGGCAGGTGCCTATAGTCTCAGCTACTCAGAAGGCTGAGGATGGAAGGTCACTTGAGCCCAAGAGTTTGAGGTTGCTGTGAACTATGATGAAGCCACTGTACTCTAGTCCAGAGGATATAGCGAGACTCAGTCAAAAAAAAAAAAAAAAAAAAAAAAAAAAAA